TAATTTGCTCATTTGGAAAGTTCAACTGGATTGTAATTTACTAACATGCATGTACAACCATCACTATCAATTTTGGAACTTAAAAAATTATTTTTATTTCAGAGCAGATTTACACAGAGAGAGAAGAGACAGAATCCTTCCATCTACTCATTCTCTTCTCCAGTAGCCCCAACGGCCAGAGCTAAAGCCAGAGGCTTCTTCTGGGTCTCTCACGTAGGTGCAGTGGACCAAGAACTTGTGCCATATTGCATTGCTTTCCCAGGCACATTGGCAGGGAGCTGGATTCGAAGTGGAGTAGCCAGGACCTCTACCCCGTGCCCATAAGGGATGCCAACATTGTAGGCAGAGGCTTAGCTTACTACACCATAGTGCCGGCCCCTAATTTTAGAACACCCAGATCACCTCGATGCTCTTTACCTCCCTTGGCCGTCACTCGTGCACATTCCTTCTTCATGGGTTTGCCCGTTCTTGACATTTCAAATCATTGGAATCATGCAGTCTGCTGTGATGGGCTTATTATACATGACGTTGTTTTCAAGGTTTGTCCATGCTGTGGTGTGTGTCAGTCCTCAACTCTTTTTTTTCCTTTTGTGAAGATTTATTTATTTTTATTGGAAAGTCAGATCTACAGAGAGAAGGAGAAACAGAGAAAGATCTTCCTTCTGCTGATTTACTCTCCAAGTGGCCACAAGGGCCAGAGCTGAGCAGATCCGAAGCCAGGAGCCAGCAGCCTTCTCCATGTCTCCCACGCGGGTAAGGGTCCCAAGGCTTTGGGTCATGCTTCACTGCCCTCCCAGGCCAGCAGTAGTCAGCAGGAAGGGAAGTGGGGCAGCTGGAATACGAACCGGCGCGACGTGGGATCCTGGCGCATGCAAGGCGAGGACCCCACCCACTAGGTTACTGCGCTGGACCCGTCAACTCCTTTTTATGATCAGAAAACACCCTGTGATTATCTCCACCCTTGTGAGCATGCAGGCACAGGTGTTTGTTTGAACACATTTTTCTTTCTTTCTTATTTTTTTTAAAGATTTATTTTATTTTTATTACAAAGTCAGATATACAGAGAGAAGGAGAGACAGAGAGGAAGATCTTCAGTCCGATGATTCACTCCCCAAGTGAGCGCAACGGCCGATGCTATGCCGATCCGAAGCCAGGATCCAGGAACCTCTTCCGGGTCTCCCACGCGGGTGCAGGGTCCCAAGGCTTTGGGCTGTCCTCAACTGCTTTCCCAGGCCACAGGCAGGGAGCTGGATGGGAAGTGGGGCTGCCGGGATTAGAACCGGCGCCCATATGGGATCCTGGCTTGTTCAAGGTGAAGACTTTAGCCGCTAGGCCACTGTGCCGGGCCCTGAACACATTTTTCTAAGTATTCGGAGTATATTCCTAGGAGAGGAATTACTTGTGGAGTCACACGGGAATTCGGCATCTTCCTGAGAAGTCTTTGAACTGTCCTGCGCAGCGGCTTCACCACTGGACATTTCCGTCAGCGAGAGGGGAACTTTTCAGTTTCTCCATCTCCTCCCCTAACAAGGCTTGTTATTTTCTGATGTTTTTTGTCACCCTTCTTCCCACCCTAGTGGGAACGACGTGGTGTCTCATTGTACTTCGCTTTACAGTTTTTATTTAAAAAGTTATTTTCTCGAAAGTTAGGGTGACAGAGACAGGAAGAGACACAGAGACGCTCTTCAAGTGATTGCGACAGCCAAGGCTGAATCAAGCTGAAGCTAGGAGCCAGGAGCTTCTTCTGGGTCTCCCACAGAGGAGGCAGGAGCCCAAAGCACTTGGGCCGTCTTCTGCAGCCTTCGCAGGCCGTCAGCAGGGAGCTAGATCTGAACTGGAGCAGCCGCAAAGCGAACTGGCACTCGCACGTGGTGGCTTTACTTGCTATGCCACAACGCAGGCCCTGCTGTATGATTTTCTTAATAACCAATCATTTCAAAAATCTCCATGTACCACTGATCTGTCATTTATCTTTACAGGAATGTCTATACAAGTCCTTTACTCGTTCTTTCAAATTAGGTATTTATCTTTTAATTTTAGAACAGGAAGAGTTTGTGTTTTCCTATACTGCCTGCTCGTTTCCCTATGGCATCTTCCACAAGGGTGGTTAGCAATTTGTACAGAGTTCAAAGCAAAAACTTTTTTTTTAAGCTGAATCTCATCTAATGGATTCTGCAGGTGACAATTTCCCCAAGGCAAGTCTCCCTTTGATGTCCCGAAGCGACGTGACCGCGCGTGCTGTGAGGCTGATGTCAACCCCACCAGCACACAGGGCGCAGGAATGGGTCCAGCGGAGGGCTCTTCTGCAGACCTGCTGGAGAAGGCCTGCCGGGGACCAGCCTCCCAGGCCGGCCCTAGGCGCCCACCACCCAGCCTGGGGATTCCTACACCCTTCTGAACATGACACTCGCACCTGCAGCTGGTAAGTGGAGGGCCTGTGGGCTTTCCCCACACCGCATTCTTTGGGAACATCTCGAAGAGGACCTGGCATTCCTTCCAGCTGTTCAATCCTTGGGGCTGCTGGAAGAAGCAAGCGTGACTTAGATCAATGTGTTCAGGGCTCATCTGAGCCATTCTTGGTGTGGGGCTGGAAGGACAACCGGGAGACTCTAGCTTCTCTCCCTCCCAGGTGGATGTGAACTTGAGTCTTTGCAAGCAACAGTGTGTGTTTTTTCCTCTTGGGAAGTGTGAATGTGTATGGTTGTGATGGCGGCAGAGGGTGAAGATAATTTCAAGGCTGGATATGGATGGTGCTAGTTTCTTTCTCTTTTTAAGATTTTTTTTTTTTACTTGAAAGGCAAATTTTTAGAGATAGAAGGGAAGATAGAGAGAGATCTTTCATCTGCTGGTTCACTCCCAAGTGACTGCAATGACCAGAGTTGAGCTGATTCAAAACCAGGAGCCAGGAGCTTCTTCTAGGTCAAGTGAATGCAGGAACCCAAGGCCCCAGACCGTCCTCTGCTGCTTTCCCAGGTCTTAACAGGATGCTGGATGGGAAGAGGAGCAGCTGGGATATGAACTCACACCCATATGGTGTGCTGGCACCTGCTGGCAGAGGATTAACTTGCTTCACACAAGTGCCAAGTGCTTATTTCTTCAGCAGTGTGCTTCTTAACCTTTTTTTTTTTTTTTTTTGACTCTTTCCGGTCAAGAGTCCACTGTGGCCTTGGAAGGAGGGGAGGAGAGGAAGCCAGGAGCTCCGTGTGGCCGTGCCTCAGTCTGGGTCCCAGCGTTGCTCCTTGCTAATGTGCACCCCGCAAGGCAGCAGGGGATGGAGTCCAGGGTCCCTGCTCCCCGTGGGGGTGCCCAGGATTGATTCCTGGTTCCTAGCTTCAGCCTAGCCCAGCTCCTGGCTTCTTTGCTGTGAGCAATGCACAGGGGAAAGAAACAGCAGCTAGGAGATCCTTAGCTCTGTTTCAAAGGAAAAGATGTGAATTCATAAATACAGATGGGAAAAAGAGGAAGATGAGGAGGTTGTGTCTCAGCACGTGGGCCCTGCGCCATCCTGGAGGATATGCAGCGACCTCACCAACAAGAGGAACCTCTGCCAGCTCTGACCACCCCCCCCCCCAAACTTCACAGCCTTCGCAAGTATGAGTCAAACAAACCTCTGCTCTTTAAAAATCACTCAGTCTTGGGCCTGCACGGTGGCACAGCAAGCTAATCCTCCGCTTGAAGTGCCAGCATCCCATGTGAGCACTGTTTCAAGCTTTGGCTGCTCTACTTCCCATCCATCTCCTTACTTATGGCCTGGAAAAACAATGGAGGATGGCCCAAAGCCTTGGGCCTCTACGCCCATATTGGATACCTGGAACAGGTTTGCTCTCCTCCCAGCTTTGGACCAACCCAACTCTGGCCATTGCAATCATGTGGGGAATGAGCCAGCAAACAGATGACCTCTCTGTCTCCTCCTTTATTTGGCACTCTTTTAGGTAAAATAAATAGATTAAAAAGAAAAAATACTGGGTCCTCACAGTGCTTCATGGTCACTCCCCCCGATGGAGGCTAAGAGGCACCTGTAAGCTCAGCCCCTGCGTCCTCAGAGCAAGATGAGGCAAGCCGGGTCCTGGTGATGAATGTAACCCCTGGTGATCCTGTGAACCCTCCCTTGCTGGATGCCTGGCTCCCTGCGAGTAGTCTAACTTAACCCCAGCCTGGACTCTACACCAGGGCTCATAGAGTGAACTGGGTTGGGTGGGAACTGTGGCAAACAGACAGGACCAGGCTTGATGTCAGAGCCCCCATTTCTGCGGGGAAACTGGGAGTCTGGCACTTCGGTGGTTATAGCGCTGAGTTTTAAACATCAACGATGTCATGCAGACCAGAGGGAAAACATACAACCAAGGTAGGTGCCTATATACAATTTTTAAAAAATGGCACCAAATTAATTCTTTCGTGAACTGTTCCCAGGACCCTCGTCCCAGCCAGTCAGAGCATCTTGCAAAGCTAGGATTCCAGGTAAGTCCGGCAAAACCAGGGTCCTTGGCACTTGACCCAGTCTCTCTCGCCCCTACTCCTTTCTCCTGCCCCAATCTCGCCCCCGGGACTGGGATCCTTCAGGATTGGGACCAAGACTCAAAGCGTCCCCAGTTCCTCGGGTGGGTTTCAGACCCTGACTGCAGAGTAAGGAGGCGAGGAGTCCCCAGCCTCCCCCAGCGCCTCCACCCACAAGCCCACAGGTCCGAGGCCTGGTCGTGCAGGGCCCCGAAGGCTGCAGATCGGGTGTTTGGGGCGGGCCCTGAGAACCCAGCCCCGAGGGGAGGCGCGGGCAAGGCGGGGCCGAGCTTCGCCCCGCGCAGAACTGGAGCTCAAACACCCTGTTGTTTTCGCCCGCCCCTCCGACCCGCCAACCCTGGGCCATTGTTTTGTCTCCTGGCCCGGATTGTGGGTGGGAGGCGAGGAACGCTGGGGTTGTGAAGCCGGGCGGCGTGCCAGCTGCGCGGCCTTCGGCCCCGGGGGCAGCGGGGCCGGCCGCGCCTCCTTGGTTGGCTGAGATCGCCCGGGTCCCCCGTGGCCGCCATGGGCGCGCGCGGCTCCCACGCCGCTGTCATTCCCGACGTGGACAGCATCCGGCGGGAGACCGGCTGTGAGTGCCCCCCGCTCTGCCGGCCACGGAGAGGGGACCGGGGCTGGGGCGGGAGAGGGGTGTGTGTGTGTATGTGTGTATGGTGGAGGGGTCCTGCCGGCAGGGGTTGGGTTGAGCGATGGAGCACCTTGCAAGTTCGGACGAAGATCCCGGAGCTGGGAGAACAAAACCAAGCGTCTGGGACTTCAGGCATGGGCGTGTCTTAACGGAGGGACTTGGGCGTCCAGGTCCCACGAGGATCGGTGGTCACGGGACTGGGGAGCCAGGTTCCTTCAGACCCCGAGGCGTCCCTGGGTCTGATCCGAGCTGGCTGGCAGCAGGTTGAGGGTACTGGTCCTTCACCGTGCGCTCCCCAGGGTCTCATAGCCTCTCACCTGCGACCCTGACAACTCCGCCCCGCATTTGGGAAGGAGGGTCCTGTCCCCACCCTTAGGCCCCTAAGTGACCTTCCACCCTCCCGCGGCGCCCCTCGGCGCTGGGTTCCAGCCCAGCCATCGCCTTCCCTCCGCAGTTTCACAGGCCAGTCTGCTCCGCCTGTACCACCGGTTCCGTGCCCTGGACAGGAACAAAAAGGGGTACCTGAGGTGAGGGGAGCCGACATCTGACCTCTGCCTCTCTGACACCACTCCTCTCTCTTTGTCCCCTGGGTTCTCCTGAGCTGCCCTCTTTGCCGTCCCTACCCGGTTTGATTTTGAACTTTGCAGTCGCATGGACTTGCAGCAGATTGGGGCGCTGGCGGTGAACCCCCTGGGAGACCGCATTATCGACAGCTTCTTTCCGGATGGGTGAGGCGCCGCTGAGGGTGGGGAGGAAGGTGGAGGTGGCTGGGAGAGACAGGGGGTCTTCCGCGGTGATGACCCACCATTTCTGTCCATCCCATTCCTCCAGGAGTCAGCGATTGGATTTTGCTGGCTTCGTCAGGATCTTGGCTCATTTTCGACCTGTGGATGAGGAGGATCCAGGAATGCGGGACCCCAAGCAACCGGAACCCCTCAACAGCAGAATGAACAAACTTCGCTGTGAGTTTCTGGCACCTGCCCGAAGGAGGACCCAGAGCTATCCCCTGGCAAGAAGAGGCTCTGGGAAGCACCCACTCCCTTGGGGAGCCTGGGAGTGGCCATTACACAACTCCCCTAATAGGCTCCCCATGCCTCACCCTGTGCATTCTCTCCTCAGTTGCATTTCAGCTCTACGACTTGGACCGAGATGGGAAGATCTCCAAGCACGAGATGTTGCAGGTGGGAAGAATGCCAGGGCAGAGATGTGCTGTGTGCGTGGCGGGGAGGTTTAATGGCGCGATGTGGAGGTGGGATGGAGTGAGTGGGTGGATGGGGATACAGGTGATTGGGGTGTTGATTGAGAAAGGGTCTGTGCTGTTGGGGTGTTGGGGTGTTTGTTGGAAAAAGAACAAAGCTGAATGATTTTCAGCTTAGGGTGGTTTTGCCTGGGAACAACCATGTAGCACAGCAGGTGCTTTTGGCTGTCACAGTTGGGCAGAGTGTGTGCTGGTGGCTGGTGGGTCGAGGCCAGGAACCCTGCTGTCTGCACACAGGACAGTCTCATTCATCCAGGATCTATCTGCCCTGCCTCTCAGTAGTGCCCTGATGGACAAACTGTAGAATAGATGTTGTGATGAAGTAGGGGGTTGAAGTGGAAAGAGTTGGGGATGAACTGAAGAATGGTGCGGGGGGAGTGGGTGGAGGCTGAGTGATATGTTTGAGAAATGATTTGGGATATTTTGTTGAGGCAAGTGTGAAATAGGAGGGGCAGGTGGGAGCCTGGATGATGACTTTGTTGGGGGGTAGGGAGGGGACGCTGTGTGTCAAAAGAGAGTGATGCCTGGATTATGAGCTTGGCAATGGCTTTTGGGGGAGGGGAGATGAGCAAGATTTGGGGGGACAGGGAGCACCCCCTATGCCTTCTCTCTCTGTGTGGCTGAGTGCTGTCTGGCCTTGCAGGTGCTCCGGCTGATGGTCGGGGTGCAGGTGACAGAGGAGCAGTTAGAGAGCATCGCGGAGCGCACGGTGCAGGAAGCTGATGAAGACGGGGATGGAGCTGTGTCCTTCCTGGAATTCGCCAAGGTCAGAATGCCCCCAGGGACCTGGAGAGTTGAGACTGGGGATGCCCAGGGCAGGAGGACATGGGAAATGAAGCTCAAAGAAGGAAGGGGGGTGGTTTTGGGAAGGGTGATCCTAGGGGAGGAAGCCAGCCGTGGAGGGGAGTGGGGTTCTAGCTGCCTAATCATCCTTCCTCCTTCTCTTCCTCCTTCCAGTCCCTAGAAAAGATGAACATCGAGCAAAAAATGAGCATCCGGGTCCTCAAGTGACCCCAGGCTGCCTTTGGTGGACCTGTGCAGCCCAGCATCTGCTTGGGATTCATTCTCAACCCCAATAAACTAGATTTCTTTTGCTTAAACTGGATATTCTGTTGCAGTGCGAGGAGAAAAGGCTGGCAGGGCGTGTGCAAGAGGTTAGCTCACTTGACCTCAGACCTGGGACTGGGCCAGCAGTCTCTTAGTTGCAAGTGACTGAGCCTCCGATTCAAAGTGCCTTGAGTGATGAAACATTGTCACTAAAAAAATCTGGAAACTTCTGTCTTTAGGCACAGCTGGATCCAAGAGCATAAACAATGTCACAAGGATTGAGTTTTCTCTGCTCCATCTCAGCTTAACTTTCCCCACAGGCCACTCCAGACTTCTATCTGCTGCTCTAGCACCCTGGCAGGAAGAGACTTTTTTATTCCAATCATTTCAAGCAAAAATGTCATTGTTCCAAGGCGGGGGATGGGGTGGGGTGGTGGTCTTGTGCCTATCTGCAAGGGAATGGGGCCTCTCTGTCCAGCCTTGTATCCTGGAGCCAGGATGTAAGGCCTGGGGATGTGGGAGGAGACGAAAAGAGATTGTTTCAAGAACATTGAAACATTGAGGTACTCTGTGCGTGTTGTTTTTGCTCAAGCAAAGCAAAAGTGTCTTTTCCTGATATTGACTAGAAGGGGGAAGAGGCTGTTGAACTCTGGTTTTCTTAAATGCTTTTCACCAATTCTCTGGGTACATACTAATGGAGGATGCGAAGAGCTGATGTAAACATGATGATACCTACATTGTTAGAGTGTGAGGTGATTCCAAGATTGGGAGAAGCAGGCTCTTACACTCATGGGATGATGCTTCAAGAGTGGTGTATCACAAGGTGGAGTGAAGAATTCACATGAAGCTGTGAGGTTCTGTTCCAGAAGAACCTTCTGATTACACTTGCAGGAGACCAGCAGTGTCCTGCCCAGCCCTCCTTCCAGGACAACCCGGTGTTGCTTTGTCTCAACACATGAGATCCAATTGCACACCTGTCTCCTCTGTGTCTCTCCTCTCTGTAAATCTGCCTTTCAAATAAAAAGAAATCTTTAAATAAAAGCTTGAGGGCTGGTACTGTGCTATAGCATCCTACGTAGGCTCCTATTCTAATCCTGGCTGCTGCTTACAGCCGGGGAAGGCTCAAGTCCCTGGAGGACTCAAGTCCCTGTACCCACATGGGGGACCCAGAAGATGCTCCTGGTTCCTGGTTTTGGATCAACTTAGCTCTGGCCGTTGTGGTTGTCTGGGGAGTGAACCAGCCTGCAATGACCTCTCTCTGTCTCTCCTTATCTCTCTATAACTCTGCTTTTCAAATAAAAAGAAATAAAATCTAAAAAAAAAAAAAAGAAAAGAAAAAAAAAACACCCTCTGCATAATTGCACATCTACCTTCTCAACTCTGTTTTTGGTGGTGCCATGTCAGTAGCCTGAAATTGGGTGCGGTGGGAATATGTTCACCATGGATATTGGCAATTGCAACAGGTTTTTCCCTGTAGGAGAGCCACACTGCTTGCTCAGCATTTGTTGTTCGTTTATACCCCAGCAGCTTCTTCCTGCACACACTGCTGGTGGTCTTGATCACGGTCCTTGCCAGTATGTACAGGGTGCCCTGAGAGAAGCAAGTGGGTAAAGTTAGTGACGTTGTGTGGACTTAACTGGGCTACCATTGCCTTTTTCAAGTAAAGAATTCTGGCCTTGAGTCTCAAAGAGAAGGAAGCTCTGGAATATTCTTAGCATCATCCAAACAATAGAATGCTGAATATTTAGAGGCAACGCACACACCTGACTGCTTGTGGGGGTGAACCCTGAAAGGTGCTGTGGGTCAGTCAAAGTGACTTGAGTTTTGGAGTTCTCTAGGGCTTGGGTTTGAATAGGGGCCCTTGGAATGACCTGCTATGATAATTTGGGTAGGTCACTACCCCACCAGGGCCTTTGTGTCCACTATCTGTAAAAAGGGACAGGTGACAGCATTCAGATGCGTGGCTGTGCCTGTCAATTCCCTCCTCCCTTTCCCCTCAATCCCACGTTATGTCAGTTGAGATCTCTAGCACCATCTAGAAGCTGAACTCTGGCCTGGATCAGCTGTGTGCCTTTCCATTGTTAACTGGCTTGTGAAACAACACGGATTTATTGGCTTCAATAACTGAAAGAGAAGGGCAAAGGTAGACCAGGCAAGGCAGAGTTCCAAAGGCTTGGGATATCATGAGAAATTTACCTTTTATTTCTCAACGATTTCATTCCCTTTTTTTAAAAAAAAGATTGATTTATTTATTTGAAAGTCAGAGTTACAGAGAGATAGGGACACACACACACATATACAGAGGGGGAGAGAGAGATTTTATCAGCTGTCTCGCTCCCAGCTGGCTGTAACAGAGGGTCCCAAGTACTGAGGTTACTTTCCACTCTCCTCCCTGGGCACATTAGTGGGAGCTGGGTCACAAGTGGAGCAGCTGGACGTTGACACGGTGCCCATATGGGATGTTCATGTTTCCTGCTATTCCACAATGTCACCCTTGTGTTGATTCATTCTTTTTGTGTTATATTTTATGATACAATTCCATAGGCTTGCTGATTTGTTCTTAAGCAACCATCTCCATGGAAAGGTATCTCTTTTTCCGAACAGTTTTGTCAAAAGTCTGTACGAACAGATACATTATCATTATCCATAAATAATACAGTGTTGTGGCTGCTTACACCTAGAGATGTCTTTAACACACAAAAGGATATGCATATGTTATGTGCACCCCATCTTTTTCTGTAACACTTATTTATTTTTATTGGAAAGACGGAGGTAGATCTAGAGAGAAGGAGAGATAGAAAGATCTTCTAGGAATTTCTTCTGGTTCTCCATCATGGGTGCAAGGTCCCAAGGTTTTGGGCCATCCTCTACTGCTGTCCCAGGCCACAATTCAAGAGCTGGAAGGGAAGTGGAACAGCTGGGACACGAACTGGTGCCCATATGGGATCCTGGCATTCAAGGATCATTTAGCCACTTAGACTATTGCACCAGACCCACGACCGCATTTTCTATGAGACTTGAACACCCATGGATTTTGGGATTTGCAGATAGTCCTGAAGTCATTCCTTTGTGGATGGCAAGGTATGACTGCAGCTGTTTGTGTTTGGCTATAAATAACAGAATAAAATCATGACGACGTTATCCCACACGCTGATGAGGCCTCTGGAGGTAAGCAATCCTGAAGTCACTAAGCCAATGAAATCATTAAGGATTTTATCCTAAATCTGAATGTTTTCTGAATGTTTAGCCTATCTCTGGATGAGCTCTTATCCTATCTTTATGTGTCAGCATACCTAACAGGTTCTTAACTGTTAAGCGTGCTGACTCATGGTTACTAGAGGGCCTTAGCATCACAGCCTTCCAGGAGCAGTGGCTACAACTGATGTCAGCGGGGATGGCCAAGGGAGAGAAGGGGAACTCTCCTTCTGTGCATCTGTTCTGATCATCGAGAAAAATAATTTTCCCAGATGTACATCTGCTGTAGAGTCTGACCTACCACTGGTCAGAACTTGAGCATCTATGGCTGCAAGAAAGATTGGGGAGATGAACCTCACTGAACTGTTTAGACTTCATCTTCATGAGACGGCTTGCATCAGTGACGAGAAAAATGGGGAATAATAACTGTGTTGAATAGTATTTAGTTTATGCTACGCTTGCTACAGCAAAGAACAAGCCCAGACGTTAACGGTGGCTCGCCACAGCAGAAGGTCATTTTGGCATAGGCTCTCGGGGGCCAACTGTACTTCCCATGTCTTTCCAGGATCCAGGGTTGAAGAAATCACCTTCAACAGGGACAGTGCTACAGGTGCGAAGAGGAGTGGGCTCCCAAGAAACCCCGGTTCTTTATGTTTCTGCTTGGACCTGATCAAGCTTTGTCTAGTCAGCTTTGGGGAGTGAACCAGTGGATGGAAGATCTCCTTCCCTGTATAAATCTGTCTAGATATATATACTTGAATGTATATCATGTTTGAGTCCTTCATCCATGCTGTTTCAAGGTGGAGGTGTCGTCTCAGGATACCAGGTCATTTCCCCACTGCCTCTGGTCCCCCCTGGCCGGTCGGTACTTTCTCCCTGAGCTTCACCTGATTAGTTTCTATTTATTATTCAGGATCCTTCCTCATACTGCTTTATTGCTCCATTTGCAATTCAATATATGCTCAAGCTCCCTGAACACCAAAACACATGGCCTGGTAAGCACACAACACAGATGCTTGGGGCTCAACTTCAGATCTGGTACATTGTAGCTTGCTGGGGGTAGGATTGGGATACCTCCATCTTCTTTAGATAAGAGATGTGGCTGCCATGTATCCAAGACCCCAACACAGAAACAGCTGTCTAGCAAGCTCCTGTAAGTATCTGTGGCCTCAGCATCCAGTTTGAATATAAACTTGACTTTCCTTTTCCAGAAGTAGGGCTCAGCCACCCATGACACAGGTGACACGGCTTCCAGTTCTCAGTTCCTCCCTGTGCTGTATCCAGATGTTTGCCTTGTAGAACCACCTCCTGGTGACCACATCCGTACAGGGCAGTTGGATACAACCTAGATGACTGGCCCCACTGACCCCTGGACCCTCGGTGGACCATCTGTTAGTCACAGAGAGGCCCCAGAGAATTCACATCTGCTTGTTCTGTCCCAAGGGAAATCGGCTTGCAAAACCCTTCAAGCCCTCCCTTCCCCATGCCCTACCCCTGCCTCGCCTGCCCTGTAAGATCCCAAGATCCCTGCCGCTCTCATTCTCCACCTGCCACTATCTTGCTCCATGCCAGCAGTTGCCTTGAGCCCTTGCGGAACCTTCTCCTCTCCTGGATCTGGGAGTCATACAGCACCTGCTGTAATTTCACATGTGTGGTTGTGGCGCGTCCTTTGGACCTCATTGAGCCCAAGTCTACTCTCAGTCCCAGGGAGGAACACTCTTGTTGGGAACACACGGTCAGGCAGAGCCACATGGGCACCTGCCAGTGTAAACAAGTTCTGCGGTGAGAGAGGCCCCTGGTGAGGACTCAGGTGCAAAGGCACTGGGCCCTGCGCCAGAGAGGAAAGAAAGTTCTATGAAAAATACACAGTCAACATCTACACACCCCTTCTCCTGGAGGCTACTCTGCAGAGAGGGAGAGAGAAAGCACACTTGAGAGCCAAAGACCTTGAGGTCAAATGCGTACACAATTGCCACCAGGGGCCCAACAAAAGCCTTTGGGTATGCTTGCCTCACTCCCTGGCTCTCCCTGGGTGTTTGGGAAGGCTCTGAGTTGGCCCATGTGCTGCCCATCATCTCTTGTTTTGGTCATGTGTTGCCCAAACTCCCCTGCTTGTATTGCCCAGGAACTGACTGGTTTCCAATATTTCTTAGGTCGAAATGACCAACCTCAGAAAATGATCTGGGTTTGCTGGGTGCCCTGAGTGGGCACAGCTGGCACCTGGGGAGACTAGACAATATTGCTGAGGCTTTGCTGGCTCTGGTGGCTTGTGCCTGAGGGGGTGAGGGAAGGATCTCTGAGGGACTGTAAGAGAGACACTGGGCCAGGCCTAGGAGGGTGTGGGAAGAGAGGGCACCATGCCCACTCCCCAAGTCTCTGAAGGCACTAGGCTTCCCAGCCTCATAAGACACTTACTGGGCTGTTGTAAAGAGGGAATTGATCGCAGATCCCGGCCTGTGGCTTCCTGGCATGCTTTGGCTTTAGAACACAGCACCCTACATCAAACATGTTTACCAAGGCCTCCCTAAGACAGGATGGAACAAATCTGGGCTCTCTAATATATTACACCTGCCGTGGACACAGGGTGCTGGAGGAGATCACTGCTCCCTGCCCCCTCCTGACTACCTGATTTCCCCTCCTGAAAACCTCTTAGGATGAACTGAGTAAACACTCATGGGTGGGGCTCGGTGTGGTAGTCTAGTGACTAAAGTCCTCACCTTGCATGTGCCGGTATCCATATGGGTACCCATTCATGTCCTGGCTGTTCCACTTCCCATTCAGTTCCCTGCCTATAGCCTGGAAAGCAGTCGAGGACAGTCCAAAACCTTGGAATCCTGCACC